CCGTGACCTGGATCTGCCTATCGCTCTGTGGCTCCGCCCTTCGCCCCCAGACTCAGCGGTGGGGACTGGGATGGGGAGGGGGGAGACCACTCAGGGCGCTGACACCCCACGATTTCGACTCCGCCCGCTGCACACAGGGAGCCTGGCTGAGGACGGAGGAGGAGGTGGGCGGGGAGGGCCCCCCCCGCAGCAGAGGCGGGGGTCCCGCCCGCCCGGAGGGGCAGGTGTGTCCGCCCCGACGGAGGGTGGGGGCGCCCGGAGCGCGGAGGGCCAGCTCCGGGGCGCCCGGGGTCCCCGTACCTCCTCTCTCCGCGGAGCGTCCGGCGCCTGCAGTCCGGTCCGGCTGCTCCCGGAGAAGTTGGAAAACAAGTCGGGGAAGGGGGGTAGGGAATGCGGGGGGCCGCTATAAATAGAGAGCGATCACAAGAGGGGGGAAGAGGATGGCCCAGCGGAGACTCCCGGGTCAAGGCCCCGAGGGGAGGAGAGGGGTGTCGGAGGAGGGGCCAGGGACCCCCAGGAGCTCGGACTCCCGGGTAAACAGGCGCGGGGGCGGAGTCAGCTCCGCGGGGGCGGAGTGGGGGCTTGGGGAGGACGCCGTGTCCCGGGATGGGACCCAAGAGACCCTGTGGCTCCGCACTCACCCCTCCTGGCCCAGCCCCGAGGAGAAGGGTGAGACCAGCCGGGCCGACCGAATCGCAGAGCCTAGGCGACGGTTTCTCGGGGACGGCGGCGTCTCTCTCAGGGCTTGGGTAGGTTTTGCTGTCCTAGGCTCCTTCCTCTCTTGTCCAGCTCTCCCCACCGCTAGACGCACCCTCCCTTGTGCCCTTAAAAGGAAGACCCCCTCGAATGGGGTGTTTATGTGGCTGAGAGAATTCGAAGTTTGTCCAAAGGAAACTTGGTTGGATGTCTCCCCACCTGCACCCCTGTTAGCTCCCCTCCTCCCAGAGAGCCCACCCCGTCCTCTCCTTCAGCCCGGTTCCCGAGTTGCCTTTTTCGGGGTCTGGGCGCTAGGCCAGTTGGGGAACAATAGCCAAAGGAACTGAAGCTGCCAACTGCAACACCAGCACAGGCTGCCCCCGCCCCCAAGACCCCCAAATTGCCTACCCCCTCCTGCCTGGAAACCACCCCCTCAACCCCTTTTACCACCCACAACCCCCCTCCCATCCAAGGACCATCAATGCCCCTTTCATCCCCACTTGGCAGGGTCTGTTGGAAAAAAGGAGGGGCCGAGAGGGAGGAGGTGACCCAGAGTAGAACTGGTCAAAATAAAACCCAGCTTTCAGCTACCCCAAATCTCAGGAACCCCCCTCCATTCCCTAGATGAAGCACCAAGTTTTCCTTTATTCCCTTCCCCCCACTCACTTCAGAACTGTTTTCCCACAAACTGGCACAGAAGCTGGGCACCCTTGGCTCTTGGCCTAGTCCCCTCTCCCCAGTTTAACTCTCTCCTGGACAAGGAAAACCTGCGGGAATTAGGGTCGTACATAAAGAAGCCTAGGACAGGGGATAAATCTTACCAGCCCTCCTGGAAGTAGGAGGAAGAAAGTCTAGAATGAGAACTTTTGCTCGCTGGCTTCTCTCGTGTGTCTAAAGTAGTCTTACTTGGATTGGGGGAGGGAAGGACCTGGAGGTTCCAGCATCTAAATTCAGCCCTGGGTCAGGATGACTCAGGGGGAACCTGATAAGGGGCCTACCCAGGGGTGCGGGGTGGCCTGAGGTGGGAAATTTCCACTGGGATCTGTTTACTTCCTAGGCCTTAGGGGTCTCAACCTGCTGTTCTCCCCTAAAATGTGTCCAGCTGCTCCTCTTTAGCTGGGACAGACTAAAGAAATGAGGCTGCTTCTGCCCTAAGAGAGGGTTCCTCTCTGTCAGGGCAGTTCCCAGCCTGGCCCTGGTGTAACTTCCTTCTCTTGGGCCAGAACCAGCTTCAAACTGTACCTTCAACAAAGTGACAGTTTTAAGTACCTACTATGTGCAAGCCACTGGAAGGATGGAATGCAAAGAAATGTGAAGTCTAGTCATACCCTCTCTAGAAGCTTATACTGAAATAGTTGAGAGAGAAAGATAGAAAAAGTTTGCCCGGCTGGCATGGCTCGGTGGTTGAGCATCGACCTATGAACCAAAGGTTCGGTATGCCTGGGTTGTGGGTTCAACCTTCAGTGGGGGGCATGCAGGAGGCAGCCAATCATTGGTTCTCTTTCATCGTTGATGTTTCTACCTCTCTCTCTCTCCCTCTCTGAAATCAATAAAATATTTTAATAGAAAAAGTTTAAAATATATGTAAAATTAATTATTTAAACAATAAATCCTATGGCAGTAGTTTCTCACCCTTCTCAAGTGGGAGATCAGAGATTTCCATTCCCACATGATAGTTGTAGTATCCCTGATGAAAAGAAACCATGAATTCAGGAAAAATTCAAGTAATTTTGTACAGTATTCTAATAATCACAACATCTTTTAATATAGTAACTAGAGGCCCGGTGCACAAATTTAGGGTGGACTGATGGGGCGAGCTGGCCAGGGGTTAGGGGCAGCAGCTGGTTGGTGGGCTGGCCCCACGCCCTGGTCGAACTCCTAGTTGAACTCCCAGTTGAGGGGATAATTTGCATATTAACCTTTTATTATATAGGACTAGAGGCCCGGTGCACAAATTCGTGCACAGGTGGGATCTGGCTGGCCCGCCCTGATTGGACCATCAGGCCAGGCCAGCCAGAGGGAGGGGTCATGGGAGGTTGGCTGGCTGGCACCACACCCTTGATGGCCTCAGCAAGGGAACAGAAACCACCAGAATGCTCTGCAAACAGGTTCTGAGCTCCCGTTAGCCAGGTGGACTCAGAGCTGGTGCACATTAAACACAGCCTGGCACTCGCCTTTGACTGTTGGTCAAATCCATTGCATCAAAAAACTTGTTCCCCTTCTCTTTGGGCCCTTACAATAAATACAGGCCAATTGGAAGATTTGGGCCCCTAGTGGCAGAGCTAAGCCCCACAATCACCTGGAATTTAGGCCTAAGACAACTGGGTAGCAATCTCCACAGAACAGAACACACTGAGAGTCTTAGTTCCCCCCTAAAATGTGCCCAGCTTCTCCTCTTTAGCTGGGATAGACTGTACTAAGGAACCAAAGACCGAGTTTCCTTTGAGGTGGAATCCACCAGGAGCTGGCAACTGCCTTCCCCCCACGCTCGGTGTGCTCTGAGCCAGTCCGTTTCTGGCAGTGCCGGGTCCTAGGCTGCTGGTAAGGTTTCTCTCCGTTGCCTTCCTAGCCTCTCAAGCAGTACCCTCCAGCCTGGCATGCCAGGCAGCTGTTGCTAGAGCCGGGACTCAGAAAGCAAAGGAGCTGGCCCTGGACGAGAAGGACCTGCAGGTGGCCAGGCCACGCCCCCACCCCACTTCTTAAACTTGCTCTCGTAGATCAGGCCAAAGCCCGCTGCCCAAGACTGGCACCATGTGGGGCGGGTCGCAGCGAGGAGAGGGGCACCCTGACCTGCCAGCCTTGGTAATAATCATCTCTGTGCCCAGCTTTTTGAATTCATCCCACAGAGCTTTCATCTCAAGCTGCACACTCACGCTGCCCACCTTTATGTTCTTCTTTACCGGCACCTTGATGGCAGCCACACAACTGGCCCCAGGGCCCTTGGGTTCAGCAGCAACACTGGTGGTGGCCCCTGCAGCTGGCACATCATAGCAACTGGCGCATCAGAGCGACTGGTCATTCTGGTCCTTGTACCATAAGGGTTGCTGGGCTTTTATTATATAGACTAGAGGCCCGATGCGTGAAAATTCATGCAGGAGTAGGTCTTTCTTCCCCCAGTTGCTTGCACCAGCTTCCCTCCAGCACCGGGACCTGTGCCTCCCTCCTCTGGCTGCCAGCAGGCACCCCAAACCCAGGCTGCTTCCCTCCTCCAGCCACCCACAGGCCCCGGGGATCTGGGCTGGCTTCCATTGGGCCACCCTCAGCCACCTAGGACCCAGGCTGGCTTTCCTCTGGCTCCAGCTTCATCAAGAAGGATGTTTGGAATGATGTCCGGAAGGACATATGGTCTAATTAGTATGTTATCCTTTTATCATTATAGACCAGAGCCCCCGTGCACAAAATTTGTGCACTACGGCAGGAGGCTCCATCAGCCTAGCCTGCACCCCCTTGTCCAGGAGCCCCACCGTCCATCGCCCCAAAGAGGTAGGCCCCACCCACCCGCCACAGTGCCTTAGGTCAGTGGCCTGGGCCTTCCTCTGCAGGGTGATTGTGGGGCAATGGCAGGACCCCCCCAACCAATCGCATTGCACTCGCCTTGGCTGGCCTGGCACCAGTGCATGTCGTAGCGTGGTCATTTTTTTTAAAATTTCTTTATTGATTAAGGTATCACATATTTGTCCTCATCCCCCCATTCCCATACCCCACCCCTCCCCATGCATGCTCTCACCCCCCTGTTGTCCTTGACCACTCGTTAGGCTCATATTTATGCACCTACATCCTTTGGTTGATCTCCCCTTTTTCCCCACTCTCCCCTACCCTCCCTCTGAGGTCCAACAGTCTGATCTTGTTGGACCTCCTTGTCTCTGAGTCTGTTCTTGTTCATCAGACTATGTTGTTCATCATTTCCCCTAGATGAGTGAGATCATGTCCTACTAGAAATGTACTTATAAGAACTGAAAATGAGACAAGCAATAATGATTATGCTGAAAGGCAAATGAATCATTCTGAAGTGAGTTTCTTTCTGGGCCAACAGTTCTTTTGAGACCCAATTTCAATGTCAAACAGTTCCTTATGTGTACATATCAGCTATGATTTTTCAGTTCTAGATGGTGGACAAATGGTGGTAATGCAGATCCGACCCTCTCTGGTTTGGTCCTGGGCAACCTGCATTGATGCACAGCTGTTGCCTGCTAGTATGGCAAGGTGTTGTCAGTGTCTTCCATCTCTGGACTGTTTCTCTTCTGTCTTCATGGCTGAACATAGCATGGTCATCTTGATGGTCGTTTGCTCTTTGGCCATTTGATTGATTTATAGATACCTACATGAATATTATTTATTCAGTTGACAATATGTCTTCTGTGTACATATAGTTTCCAGAGACCCTTGCAATAATTCAGAAATTCTCACCCTAGACGGCTGCAGCCCACCAGGCTAGGAAACATTGTTTTAGTATGATATGGGAGAGGAAAAGGGTTTGCTTCCTAGGGTGAAGCACCATATAAGGAATGCAATCATGGAGTGTTTGGGTAGGAAAGAGGGGCATTTTATCCAGGAAGAAAGAGCATGAGGAAAATTTTGAGGGTAAAATACACAAGTTATTTTGAAGAATGGAATAATCACTACTTGGGCAAAGTTCTTCTTACTATTATTCCCCTACATGATAGGGTATTATTATCCTCATTGTGCAGATGAGGAAACTGAAGCTCAGAGATGTTTACTGACTTGCCCAAGGCCAACCAGCTAGTGAATGATATATCTAGGACTCAAATTTCCACCCCAATTGATTCCATTCTAAGGCTATGCTCTTTCCACTATGAGGTACCCCCCTCAAGCACATAGTGATTAGGCCATTATAGCCTCAGATGAAGAATAATGATGAGAGGTGGGTGATGTTTGATAAGATACATTGGGGCCAAATGTGAATGTTCTTGAATGACAGGCAAAAAAAATTGTGGCATTGAAGATCCATAGAGTATTCTTGAACAGGAGTAATGAATAAAAAATACTTTTGTGAAAACATGATGGGGGGTGATAAGGATATTGATTATAAGGTGGATAGGGGTAAAGCATTCAACTTGGGAAAGTGATCATTTAGAAGCCAGGGTAGCCCGACCAGCATGGCTCAGCAGCTGAATGCTTTGACCTATGAACCATGAAGTCATGGTTTGATTCCAGGTCAGGACACATGCCCAGGTTGTGGGCTCATCCCCAATGGGGGCCATGCAGGAGGCAGCCAATCAATAATTCTCTCTCATCATTGATGTTTCTATGTCTCCCTCTCCCTCTCCTTTTATTATATATCCTATATAATAAAACTCACTTCAGAATGATTCATTTGCCATACTAGCAGGCAACAGCTGTGCATCAATGCAGGTTGCCCAGGACCAAACCAGAGAGGGTCGGATCTGCATTACCACCATTTGTCCACCATCTATATAGCCTATTATATATCCTATATAATAAAAGGCTAATAACTGATTGCTATGACATGCACTGACAACCAGGGAACAGAGGCTCAATGCAGGAGCTTCCCCCTGGTGGTCAGTGCACTCCCACAGAAGGAGCACAGCTCAGCAAGAAGCTGGGCTCATAGCTGGGGAGCACAGTGGTGGTGGTGGAGAGAGCCTCTCCTGCCTCCCTGGCATCACTAAGGCAGGTGGATATCCCCCCGAGGGGTCCCGGACTGTGAGAGGGAGCAGGGCGAACTAAGGGACATTGCCCCTCTGCCTAGTACACGAATGTCATGCACTGGGCCTCTAGTATACTCCTATATAATAAAAGGCTAATATACAAATTGACCAAATGGTGGAACAACCAGTCCCAGTCACTATGATGTGCACTGACACAGGAGCTGCCCCTGGTGGTCAGTGCACTCCCACAGGGTGAGCACTGCTCATCCAGAAGCCCTAAGATAGGCTTACAGCTGGTGAGCACAGCAATGGTGGCAGGAGCCTCTCCCGCCTCTGCAGCAGCACTTAGGATGTCTGACTGCCAGCTTAGGCCCTGCAGGGAGTGGGCCTAAACTGGCAGTTGGCATCCCCTGAGAGCTCTAAGCTGTGAGAGGGCACAGGTCAGGCTGAGAGAACTCCCTGCCTTCTAAGTGCACAAATTTCATGCATCGGGCCTCTAGTGTGTGTGTGTGTGTGTGTGTGTGTGTGTGTGTGTGTATTTAAAGCAGAAGCTAGGGTAATCAACTAGATATGAGATGACAAGACTTCAAGAAGTGTGGAAGTAATAGGAATGGAAAAGAAATGAATGGATATGTGAGACAAGGAAACAATACATCAGAATTAGTGACTTATTAGACAGGAAGGGGAAAGAAGTCATCCTCTATTTTAGGATGCCTGCTGTTCATCCATCTATATGGCTTCTGGCCAGAGAACAGGCCAAAGAGGAATCCATGAGGAATATCCTTACCTGAAATATTTTCACAGCCTGAGATTCACCCTCACTCTGACCTATTTCACCCTGCTTCACTCTGACCTATTTCACTCTTACACTCTAAGACAATTTCTATGGTCAGCCTGACAAGAACACCATTTAAAGTCCCTATTGAGCTTGTTCTGCTAAAGCCAATGAGGTTCTCCATGTTGGCCTTGGGCCTGGAGACTAGGAAAAAAGTAATATTTGACTGAAGCCACCCGTTTTTATTAACCCCTTCCCTGGGCTCTCTTCAGCCTTTGATGAGGGGCAGAGCATAAAGTGATTTGATCAGGACCAAAGGGTTGGGTTAAGCTCGACTGAAATAATGAGGGAAGTTTGATCCTCTGGAGAGATCAGAAGTTTGACAGTTTGTTCAATGCAACATGCAAGGAAGGGAAACCAAAAGACCCCTCCCCCAAAGACTAGCACTGTAGCTGGGGCTAGAGGTCATAAAAACCACTGAGGTCATAGAAGCCTCCCTCTCTTATTCTGTCTCCCCACTGCCATATAGTCCCCCGCCCCAGCTGCCTCCCACATATGCACACACTTACATAAAAAGGTTGGGAAGGGCCAGACACCATCTGGGAGCACTTAGGTACCAAAAGGGGTAATGTGGGTGGAGGCAATGATTGCTCAGGATGTAGAATGCATAGTAGTATTCCTAGTGCTAGGAATTGTAGGTGGGAAGAGGGGGGAGAGAAACATGGAAGAGGGGGTTTGTTCCTGTTGCTGATTCAGATTTAACCCCAATCCTTCTTACTTCCCAGTCCTCCTTTCCCCCCTTCCACACCCTCCCCTCAATCTCTCCCCCAAGTGTCCTCCCTCACCTCCAATTGATCATGGCATCAGAAGCTGAAAAAACATTCCATAAGTTTGCTGTCTTCGGAGAATCATCAAGCAGTGGCGCTGAAATTAACAACAAAAACTTCTCCAAGCTGTGCAAAGACTGTGGCATCATGGACGGCAAGTTGGTCACTTCCACTGATGTGGACATCGTGTTCAGCAAAGTCAAGTAAGTGACCAAAGATGGGAGTAGGGGTCGTGAGCAGAACAAACAAGATAGTGAGAATGGGAGGGTTTATGTGATAGAAGATTTGTAATGGGTAACTGAGCACCTACTGGTTACTTGGCACTATTTATTCTCTGTCTTCAAGACATTCAGTGACCAAGTCTGAGTAAGGAGAGGGTTGGACCTTGGCAGGTGATGAGTTCATGTTCCAGAGTTCCTGGATTTCTTTCTTACTGACCAGGGACAAGGTTGCCCGAACCATCACATTTCTACAGTTCCAGGAAGCAATGAAGGAACTGGGCCAGAAGCGGTTCAAGGAGAAGAACCCAGACGAAAACCTGGAGAACATTTACAAACTCATGGAAGGCAAGGATCCAGCTACCTCTGGTGTCACTGTGAGTGATATTCTTCATCCCTAATACTTGACCTTACTTCCTTGCTACTCTGCTCCTCTCCCATCCTCTGATGACCCTAATGTCTGCCAATAGGGGTATTGTAGGGAGTCAGGGCAGAAAGCCTCTGGGGGCACTGTTGGTACTGGAATGGACTTCAGAGATCATTTAGAGATGAAGAAACTGTGGCCCAGAGGAGGGACGTGACTTGCCCAAGGTCCACAGTTATTTTATTTTATTTTATTTTATTTTATTTTATTCATCCTCACCTGAGGATATCTTTCCATTGATTTTTTTTAGAGAGCGTGAGTGTGAGGGGGAGGGACAGAGAGGGAAACACATCGACTAGTTGTCTTCCATATGCATGCCAGGGTTTGAGCCTGCAACTGAGGTATGTGCCCTTGACCAGAATAGAACCTGAGACTCTTCAATCCTCCAACCAATGCTCTGTCCACTGAGCCCAACAAGCTAAGGCCCACAGCTATTTTAACAGCAAAATTTAGACTCATTCTCAAGTGTCCAGTATATGAACAAGGCAACTAGGGCCTGAAAGACACTGCAGAGGACTTGTTATCTGATCCCCACTCTTCTTCCTGCTCTTATATAAGGTCTAGTCTCTGGCTTTCTGCCTCTCACCACTCTCTCTTCCATGTTTGTCCCCTCTCTACTGAAAGCTCTTTCTACTCTAGATTTCAAATAGGACCTATGCAGTACGAGGAACCTTGCATACTGGGTCTGGAGTTGAAGTCTTATGGCTATAGCCTCATCAAAATAACTCCCATGGCCTGCCAGGTGGCTCAGTTGGTTGGAGTGTCATCCCATACATCAAATGGTTGCATGTTTGATTGTGGGTTAGGGCACATATCAGATTTCAGGTTCTATCCGCCATTGGAGTGCATATGGGAGGCAACCAATTGATGTTTCACACATTAATGTTTCTCTCTCCCTTCTCTCTCTCTCTAAACAAACAAAAAATCCTTGGGTGAGAATTAGAAATAATAATAATTTAAAAAATAACTCCTCACCTGGCTAGTGTGGCTCAGCACTAATCCATGAACCAAGAGGTAGGTTGATTGATTCCCATTCAGGGCACATGCCCGGGTTGTAGGCCCAGTCCCTGGTAGGGGGCATGCAGGAGGCAGACAATCTGTGTTTCTCTCTATCTCTTGCCTTTTCTCTCACTCTAAAAGATCTAGTTAAAATATTTTTAGAAATAATAATAACTCCTCTGGAAGCAGAAAAATCCACACACAGACCATTCACTCCCATACACCTGTGGATGGCTCTTGCCATAGTTCTTGCCCACAGCCACATCTGGGCCCTGAAAAAGCAGCACCATGCCATGGGTAGAACAAGAGCTCTGAGCCCTAGAGGAATCAAAGACCACCTTAAGAGAAGGGGTGTAACTGTGGAGGGAAAAGGAGAGGGATCAGACTTATCCTCTGGCTTACAGAAAGCAACAACCGTGGGCGGAGTGAGCCGGCTGACGGACACCAGCAAGTACACTGGCAGCCACAAGGAGCGCTTTGATGAGAGTGGCAAGGGCAAAGGCATAGCAGGACGGGAAGAGATGAGCGAAAACTCAGGCTATGTGAGTGGCTACAAGGGTGCTGGCACCTATGATAAGAAGATGGACAGTAAGTAGGGAGTAGCCTCATCTTAGCCTGCCAGCCCTTGATTCAACATCGTTAATACTGGGGAGCTCAAGAAACAATAAATATCTGTGTGTGCAGCAACTAATAAACGCTGTCTTCAGCCAGGGAAGGGAAGGGTGAGGCGAGAGAGAGAGAGAGAGAGAGAGAGAGAGAGAGAGAGAGAGAGAGAGAGATGTCCAAGGAGTCAGGGTTTCCAGATCTCCACCTTTTTCCCTACTTAGCTTGATGCCCTGAGCCAGAGATAGCATTCTCCTCAACAACTGCTTCTAAGATGAGGTCTGAGGAGTATATTCGAAGATAAGATATGAACCAGATGTGGAGGCAAAGTATTCGTTACTTGCATTCACACACCACTGGCATTCACCCTCCTTTACCTGCCAAAGGGGAATAGAACTTCCTCATTTGAAGTAGAATGACCCAGATGTCACCAACCAGACCTCTTTCCCTCCACCTTCCTGATCTGCTGCAATCCACATTTCATTGTGGGGAGAAATAGATGCCAGCTAGGGTGGGCCAGGATCTACTTAGTCTGACTGCTACTATGAATTTATTCCAGAGCTAGGGAAAGGGAGAATCCATTTTCATTACTCAGCGGGAAGTTAGTTTTATCCCTCATACCTCCATCATGCTTCACCTGGAACAGAAGATCCTACTGACAGCTAACAGTCACCAGGAAGATGGCCAGAGTGATAGTTCTAATGCACTAAGGGAAAAGGAATGGAATCAGAACTGAGTCAGATGTGTTTTTTATCTTTTTTATTTTAAAATGAATATAGATTCACAGGAAGATGCAAAAGTAGTACAAAGAGGTCCCATGTACCCTTTACCGGCTGATCTAGCTTACACAACTCATATGTAGTTTTGAAACCTTCTGTAACTACCTCTAGGCTCACCTCACCTATGTTGTCAGCAGCAGATCCTAGAGTCTAGAGAACATCAGGAGCAGCTTTGGGAACAGGATGGAAGTATCTTAGGGCGGGGGGTGGGGGGTGAGGGGAATAAGCCAGAGAAAATAACTTTAAACTTCAGTGAGCCAAGGTGAGAATTGTGGAAAAGAAGTTGGAGAAGACAAGGTGACTAAAGGAGGCAGGGAGTGTAGGGGAAAGACACTGGGCTCCATGGTAGAAGGAGAGAGGAAAGAACAGGTTACGTGAAGAAAATGATTTCATGGAGAGGAGCAGCAGGAAACTGAGAGGAGATTCTGGGGACATGAGGCTAAAATGAACCTAAAGGTCTCAGGGAGGTCCCTAAAGCTAGAGATTTCCATCAGGTGGATGAGTGGAGAGAGTCATAGGGAAATGGGGAAGACTGAAAAGAGAAGGGTGGTGGGGATAGGGAGTCGAAGCATTGAGCTGGTGCCTGTTGCCATGGTGCGAGCTGGCTCTGGGCCTCCATCCAGGATTCAGTATCTGGCCCAGTGGATGGACAGGCACTGCCAACTGGACACACTTGGCTTCTTGGGTGGGTAAAACTGTCTGTGGGAGAGGACGGATGATGGGGAGAGGAGAAGTAAACAAGCTGGAAAGAGCCTAGAAGACAGTATGATTTTGCGTAGTGACTGAAGCTCTGAACATTTTTCCTACCTCCCTGGTCTTTTTAGAGAGAACCCTGCCTACTTTCAAAGTCAGGGGAAAGGAATCAGATTTTGGAAAGGGGGACACGCTGGTCGTGGTGGCACTAGCGGGGGGGGTTCACAGTGAAAGCCTCCCTTCCCTAGAAAAGGCCAATGATACCTATTGGTTTAGCATCATACTTTTGGGAACAGAGCAGGTAGAGCCTTTGGTTGGCTAGGGTGCTATTGTAACGGCAGCTGGTGGGTGGCTGTTTGATCTCCAGAGAGCAGATTGTGAGGGGCAAGGTCTCCTCGGAGAGTGTACAGTATTCATTGTAATTCTCACAGAAGCTCTCACAGTACTTGCAGGACTTCTGAATCTCTGCCAAGGGAGCATGTACCACATAATGCCTCCGTGGGCAATACCAGCTTTGTTGCATGCCCCTCACATAGGCCATGAGACCGTTACAGTATCCCTGGAAACCCTCTGGGTAGTTAACCTTGGGATAGTCGATGTGCATGCTTTGAAAGTTCTTGATGGCATCCTCTACATTGATGTCCATGACCAGAGTTGGTCCTAGAACAAGCTGGAGGAACAGGAGCCAGGCCACAGCTGGTGCCATTCTTCCTGCTGGTAGAGTTAAGATGGTTGGAAACAGAAGTGGGCCTGGAGTGGCTATCTGCCCCTTCCTGGAGCCTCCAGCATGTACCCAGCCTTCCTTGTGTGCCTTCCTCTAAACCTAAGAGCTGGACTGTACCTCAGAGATCATCCAGCCCTAGACTCATGTCCATAAGAGAGGAAACACCCAATGTGACCAAGCTGGTCAACCACCTTCAGCCATTCCACCCTTCTCTTGCTCTCAGCCTCATCTAGTCATGAGCTGTAATACTTACAGAATAAGAAGTCCAACTGGTCCTTGGGTGAGCAATTCTTAATTATCCCTGGCCCCAGTGAACCCTTCTGGGGGAAAAAAAAAAAAAAAAAAAAAAAAAAAAAAAAAAAAAAAAAAGCAGAGGCAATAGAGAGAATAGATTCTCTGATTGCTGTGGAGGACCCACAGGATCTGGAAGATGAGCAGGGCAACAGGCAAGGTTTCTTTATGCCTGAGGCCAAAGACAGCCCAAAGGTGAGAAGAGGCTGGAATGATTTCTAGATAAAGGCTCGACTGGGAGGAGGGAATGTCCCCTGACTTGGAGGAGCCCCTGTGCTATGGGGATTGGGTGGGTGGGAAGAAAGAGACATTACAATCTGCTGATGTCATAAGAACATTTAGTTCCAACCTCCTTGCCAGAAGTGCTTAAGGTTCTTGGGCTTTCTTTGATGTTGATAGGCCCTGTTTTTTCGGATAGGTGAGAAGAAAAGTACTGTCCTGTTTCTGAGGAACAAAGTGATGTTTATTCCCAGCCCTTAGAGAACAGAGCGTCTGCCACTCTTTCAACCCACTCATAGGAGCCCATGCACATGCAAGAGCCTCCCACCAGAGTGATGATGCACTGATAATCCAAGATGTCTTTGTGGACCTCCCACAGTCCCTATCACCAACGGCACAACAATCATAGTGATACAGTCATGCTATTCTGTCGCCTATAACCTCAGGCCCTTTTGGAGTTAGGGCATACCTGGAAATTTTTGCTCTAAGACACCCCCCCCCCCCCCAAGCCTCCATATTGTCCATTGGGTAGAGGGCGTGGTTTGGATTGAGGGGGTGTGGCCCACACGAGCCCACCGAATCAGATTCTTGCTATTGTCTGTCATGCTGGGAAAGGGCTGGGCTCTTTATTAACACCTGCCCCTTTATCAGAAGCAACAAGCCTGCCAGCCATAGTCCTTGATGTCCACAGGCCCTTTGCCAATCTCCCTGTAGAATGTGATCCAAGGTGTGGGCTTCCTCTTAGAAGACCACAGTCACCCTGGAAAGCAGGAGTAGGGAGTCAGACAGCAGAACTCTGAGTGCTCCCCACCTCCATTTTCTTGTCCATGTCATCTCCTCCTCCCACTCCTGTCTCTATCAATTCTACTGAGCTAGTGCATATGAAGACTCAGCCCAGAGACCCTATAGAAGAAGCTTCTACTTGGAAGACCTCTCTAGGGAATTGTGCAGAGCCAAGTAAATGTGTAGTTCAGGAAGGGGTACAGAGAGATGTACTCATTCATAGTCCCCCTAACTTGCTCTTTCTGACAGCATAGACTAAAGCCCAAAACTGAACGCATCCTTTCCACAAATTGCTTCTCTTCCTGCAACGTCTATTTTAGCTTCCTCAGTTACCTATACAAGAAATCTGAGTTATCTTCCTCCCTTTACTCCACGTGTAGGGAGGCAGTATCTACATGGTGGTCAGGAGCAAGGTTTTCGAGTAAAACAGACCAGAAATTGAATCCTGCTCTGCTGTTTACAGGCTGTGCACCGTCAATCTAAGTTTACTAAAGTACCGTAAACTTCAGTTTCCTCATCTGTTAATCAGGATAATATTTTATTCCTTATAGCACTATTAGAATTCATTCATTAAGGTGTATATCAAGAGCTTTTAGTCCAGTGCCTGGCACGTGTGGAGTGCTCAAAATGAGCAGAAGTCCATCGGTCAGGTAGCCCTGAAACTCTTTTCTAAACTTTTCCTAAACCCATCCCTTCTATTCCTTTATTATTGTTGTTGTTGTTATTATTATTATTATTATTATTATTATTAAGGTATTATATGTGTACATATCTTACCATCCCTTCCATTCCTATTTCTTCCCTTGCTTGGTCTCTCCCCTCTCCTGGACACCACACACACTCCAACTCCAATAAGGCTCTACCCCTCATAGGATGTAAGATTTTCCATGATCTGGCCCTTGCCATGCCTCCAGCTGCTCCTCCATGCCTGCTGCTTCTCCCACAGTGCCCCCCCACCTCCATTTCCTTGTCCATGTCATCTCCTCCTCCCACTCCTGTCTCTTATCAATTCCACTGAGCTAGCGCATATGAAGACTCAGCAGAGACCCTATATAAGAAGCTTCTACTTGGAAGACCTCTCTAGGGAATTGTGCAGAGCCAAGTAAATGAGGGGAAAGCTGACACAGCCAAGTGGCTCATTTATGTCCTTCAGGCTGGTCTATAAGCCAACACTGAGTGGGAGCCAATGCATGGAGGTACTGGAGCCTAGCTGATTCAAGTCTTTGTTTTGAGGAAGATGACCATATTATGTGGTCCCCACCTCAAAGCATGCCACCGCTTCCCTCTTTCCTAAGAGGAAAGGAACTTTCACGTCTCTTGGTCTTCCTCTTCCTTCATTCGCTACCCATCCACCACCACTCCCCTCTGCACACATACTTATAAGATAGAATAACACATTGTAGAGGAAAGAGTTCAGGACTTGCCAAGACCAGTTTGGCTCAGTAGATAGAGTGTCGGCCTGTGGACTGAAGGGTCCCAGGTTCGATTCCAGTCAGGGGCATGTACCGTGGTTGCAGGCACGTCCCTGGTGAGAGGTGTACAGGAGGCAGCTGATCAATGTCTCTCTCTCATGGATGTTTCTAACTC